AGGCAGGCGCGGATCCACTGAGCTAAATCCCTGGCCCATCATCCAAATGTTTGATTTCCTGAACTCAAGCTGAAAATAACTCACAGGAAAGTGCTGCCATTGAGAGCTATTGGTCCCAACCCCCACCTTCTGGCCACGCATAATCTTATCAGAGCATGCAAAGAGGAGGACAGGCAAAGGCTCCTGCAGCTATTTACAAAGCCTGTCATCGTATAATCTGTGGTGCACAAGCCCCACAGCACCGCCAGATGGGAGGTTCAGGGAGGGAAGGGTCTGTCTGCTCCACAGGTCTGATGTTCACAGTACAACCACTGACAGTGATTTGGGGAGAAACAAATGAAAAACGTGGTACATTCCTTCCCCAGGATGAGGGTATACATAACAACGAAAAAGGAAGGATTCAGAGGCTTATTTTATTTAGTTGGAATTCTGTTTCTTGAAAAAAAAAAGACCAAATGATAAATACAAACTTATTTGAGATGGGGACTTCTGGTCCCAGGTTCAAGGAAGAACACACATTCTGGTTCTACTTCCTTTCTTCCCAGTCTGGCTCAGTCGCCAACCTGGCTTCTCCCCACAGAACATGTTCTGCCCACATTTACACAGCAGCCTCCTAAATGCCAGGTCTAACCTGGCCCATTTAAAAAACCTTGTTTCAAGAGTTACCACCTTGGTAAAGTTGCCACGTGTGCACAGGTGTGTTACTACTAGGGGTCGAACCTAGGGCTTTACACAGAGAGCTACATCTCTAGCCTTTTTTTTTTTTTTTTTTTTGAAACAGGGTCTCTAAGTCACTAAACTGCCCAAGTGGGACTCCAACTTGAAATCCTCCTGCCTCAGCCTCCCAGTGTAAGGACTATGTGGTATTAGGTAGCACCACACCTGGCTATACAGTTATCTTTATTTTTTTCACTTTTTTATTTGTAAGGTTATCTTTAATACTCTGCTCACACCAGTCCAATCAGACAAAGCTTGATTAACAAAACCACGCTGTATTAGAATTGTCTGTCTCCTGACTGGGCAGAAGTTCCTCTGAATGCCCTGCTTAACACCTGCTCAGGTCAGCAGAACATACAAACTGAGAGTGTGCTACATTACCCAGAAGTTACCCCACCCCTTAACTTCTTTGAAACACTTGTCATAGGAAAAACCTTCACAACACAGGAAAAACCTGGAATGTTTCCAGGGGAAGTTTTCTTCTTTACAAAAACTAAGAAGTCTGCCTCCATTCCAAAAGGAAAATTCCAGCACTTGAATTCTGTCGCTCTGCTCACTTATCTGTAGCCCAAAATTTAGAAACTTCCCTCTGAAATCAAACTTCCTGAATATAAATAGGAAATGAAAACTCAACTCACCACCTGCATACCAGTGAAACATGGAAAAGGACCCACAACGGTACCTCAAACTCACTGGAATACTCCACGGGGCTCCGATCTGACTTCTGTCCAAACTGCTTTGGAGTTGGCAGGGCAGTGACCAAAAGGTGACCCCTCTGGGAACACTTAAAACTGGCGTCTTGGGCCCCCCTCCCTGCCCCCAGGCCATCTCAGGTCTTCCCTGTGTGTTCCTAGGGTATTAGCCTGGGCTGGGGCTGAAGCTCGCTCAGGGCCCCTCGCCCCTCCCCACTTCACCCTCCTCTGCCTCCACACTGGGCTGATCCTCCCCCCCCAATGGATTTCCGGTGCCCTCCTTAGCCCTCCCCCCAGTTTCTCCTACTCACTCCAGTCTAAAATCAGAAACAGTCAGCAACTAGCAGAACCAGGTAGATAGGAAAGGGGAATTAAGAGGAAGAGAAGGGACAGGAGCAAGCTGTGGAGGAGGCTGAGGCAGGAGGATTACCAAGTTTGAGCCTAATGTAGGTAACTTAGCAACTCAGTGAGACCCTGTATCAAAATAAAAAGTTAGAAAAGGGCTGGGGATGTAGTTCAGGGTAGAGTCCCTGGGTTCAATCTTCTGTATCACACACACACAAAGAATCAAATGAAAAGGGAAGAGAGTGAAACCCTTAGCCTACACATTTCCAACCACCCCACCCTCCTGGCTCATCACTCCCCAGCCTCAACAGTCAGGCGCACAGCAACCTCCTCATTCTTCCTTAGTCACCTCGCCCCGAGCTTCAGCCCCAGCCCAGGCTAATACCCTAGGAACTCACAGGGAAGACCTGAGATGGCCTGGGGGCAGGGACACAGGCTAACACAGTCCAGTGGGGGAGGGGTCACTGGGGAAATGCATTCTGAGGCCCAGTACGTCTCACGCTCTGGAGGAGGCTGAGGCAGAAGGATCACTTCCAAGCCAGCCTAAAGTACACAGGGAGAACCTGTCTCAAACAAACATAAAAAGCAATGGCCTCTGAGGCAATGCCATGAGTCTGACCCGAATACTGAAGGCCTCTGATTCTGCTGGCACTGTTTAGAAGTCTGGAATCCCAGTAAGGTAATTCTTGCTCCAGGGATAAATAAGTCTTGAAAGCAGAAATTCCAAAGTAGATCTTGGGCTCTCTTCCCCAGGCAGCCTTGGTAGACAGCCAGAGGCAACCTCCAGCCTGCAGAACTGTCCCCAGGTAGGCCGGCCCAGCAGTGCTGCCTGCCTAGGTACCTTCACACCTGCCACCCTGGGTCCCCAGAGCCAACAGCAGGTCCAGTCAAAGAACAAGCCCCTGCCCAAGGCGGTGGCACACGCCCAAGGCAGGAGAGTCACTGCAAACTCAAGGCCAGTCTGAACCATACAGTGAGACGCTGTCTAAAAAAAAAAAAAGAACAAGTTCCAAAAGTGCCAAGCCTGTGTCAGAGACAGTGGCAAATGTAAATGATTGGCATTTAAATCTTGTCCCAACAGGAAGGGCCAAACCTCCAATTTCAAGAAACAATCTACGTTGGCTACATGCAAACAAAAACAAAATTTTTCAAACACTTCTATTTCCAAACCAAATTGTTTGCATACAAAAGTATTCGTGAATCAAGATACCATTGTATTTCTATAAAAATGACTTTTTTTTTTTTTTGGTACTGGAGATTGAACTCAGGACCTTAAGCTTTCGAGGCAGGCGGCAAAACCACTGAGCTAACTCCCTGGCCCTACAAAAATCACATTTTTAAGAGCCGGGGACCCAACAACCTGCTATCAGTGGCCTATGACTAATCTGAAGACTTTGAAAGAAGCTTCTGGGCCTCCTTATTAGACACAAACACACACCTCAAATACACAGCCTGCAGAGAGGGCAGCAGCTGCCAATGAGATGCCCTTTGCCTGTTGTATTCCTTCTCTCCCACACCCATCACCACCTACTGACCGCCTAGGCCTCTTGCACGATAAAAAGATAAGCCTAGAACTCTTCAAGGAGCCTAAAGATGAATGTAAAATCTCAGACACACTAGTAAATAATGATACCACTGTAAGACTGAGACAGAGGCTGCAAGAGCATAGCCAGGAGCTTGGAAGAGGAAAGTCACACTTCCTACCAGGAAGCCACAGAAGCCTCCCCAGGCCAGTGATTGATGGGCTGGACCAGTAAGGGATGCGTAGGTATATTAAAGTGCAGATGCAAAATTGAGAAAGAGCCAGGCTGAGGGCGCACACCTGTAACCCCTGTACTTGGTAAGCTAAGGCAGGGAACTGCAGCAAGTTCAAGACCAGCCTGGGCTATCCAGAAGCTGGCAGAAAAACAAGAGACCTGTTTTTCTATTTGTTGAAGGCTCTAATAAGATGCTGGAGAATTTAACTGCTTAGTGAGGGAGATCTCTAAGAGTTCAAGGCCAGCCTGCACTACATAGTGAGAACCTGTCTCAAAAAACAAAACAAAACAAAAACAACAACAAAAAACTCCCACAAACCTAGAGTTTTTACCTGATAAGGACACCATAATACATGAATTTCGGTAACTTCAGATTTCCTATCCTCAGCACAAAAACCTCATTGAATTAACCAATTTCCAGAAGTCCCAGGTTCCACAATGACTCCTGAATCGGGGCCTGGAGGCCCTGGGACCTCTCTGCTCCAAACCTTTCTCACAGTGGCTACACTGCTACTCTTTCATTCCTTCACTCAGCTGCTAAAATAAGCCCATGACTCCAAGGCTGCAATGCAAATACCCATTCCCACTGTATGGCAAGAGGCTGTGTGGACAAAATGTCTCCCCATCAGTCCCTCACTGAGCGACTTTCCCCCTGAATCCCTGTCTCACTGGGCTGCAAAGGCTAACTGTAATGATCTATGCAGAAATGTGGCATCTGTGGGCCCATAAATCCATCAAAAAGTGTTTAACACCACTGGCCAAGAAACACACATTAAAACAACTCTGAGATTCCACCTTACTCCAGGAAGAACGGCCACCATCAAGAAGTCAAAGACTAGTAAATGCTGGCGGGGCTTCAGGGAGAAAGGAACACTTCTACATCCTTGGTAGGAATGTGAAAGCAATACAACCACTTTGGAGATCAGTATGAAGATTCCTCAAAAAGCTAAAGAGAGAAATTCTATTTGACCCGATATTCCCCTTCTAGGTATCTTCCTGAAAGAGTTAAAGACATATTTACAACACACACAAACCTACATTTATAGTGGCACAATTCATAATAGCTAAATCTTGGAAGCAACTTATAGTCTATCAATAGATGACTAGATAAAGAAAATGTGACATCTACACACGATGGAGTACCTTTCTGCCATAAATAAACTTCAGTCATCTGTAGGAAAATGGATGCACCTTGAAACCATATGCTAAGTGAAACAAATCAGACACACAAGTTTAAATAGCGCGTGGTTTCTTACATAAAAAACCCAAAGTATAAACAAAGAGTAAATTAAAAATTAATAGGAAATAAGGAGGTAGATCTTTTACAAAAGGAAAAGGGGACCAAGAGATGACCGGAGGAGAGGAAAAAACTTCAGATGTGTTATGGGCACGTGCCAAACCCCACAAGCAACGTGATCACTGTGCACTCCAAGCACGTACTAACAGCAAATAAAAATGAACAAAAAGAAGCGGCGCGCCTGCATGTTACCTGGAACACAGATGTCCGGGTCCCGGGTGCAGGCCTAAGGCGGCAGCTTCGTACAGCTCTTGTACCTCATACAGGTCCGCGTCCGCATCCTCCACGCTGCTGCCATTCTGCCCTTCCAACGTGAGAGTTTTCCCCGCGGCTGCGACAAAGGCCAGGTTCTCGTACTCCGGGATCTCCTCGTAGTGGCGCACGTTCTCGCACTCGGGCTCAAAGACACCCGGCTCCCTGGAGAGCATCTGCTCGTCCAGAGATTCCGCTCTCAGGCCTTCAGCTGCACTCCGGCCCCAGGGCTTCTTCTTCTTCTTCCGAGATTCTGGGCTGTAATGGTCCACAGAACACACCTTTCTGGGTTTGCCTCTCTTCTCCAGGTCGGCCGCCAGCAGCCCACACCAGACACTTCCAGGCCCCCTCCGCTCCCTGCCAGACAGGTAAGCTCTGCTTTTGTCTCCGAGCTGGCCACTCCGGAACCAAGATTTCTGAAAGTCTCCCCTTAGGAAGCACATAGACAGCTTCCTGTTGAGCAACTGCCTAAAAGAATTTTTCTTGGGAGACGGTTTGCAGGGCTTGGTGCACCTGTCCAGATCCACAGAGGATAATGACTTTGCCCTCAGCTTGGGTAGGGCAGCGGAAGGCTCACCACCGGCAGGCACAGTGACAGACTTTAACGATTCTGAGTTCCCTAAAAAGGGTAAAATAGGATGAGGCAACTTCCACACTGGCTTTTCTGAAGTCTGTTTGGGCATATCGAAGGAAGATGATCTAGCATGGTCTGGGGCACACAAATGCTGAAGGTGGTTTCTTTCTAGAACCTTCCCTGAACTTTTTACTTCAACTAAAGGAAAAGAACTTTTCTCCACCAGCTCCACAGAAGCAGCCTTTTTGAGCACTCCTGAAGCAGGCAAGCTATGCCTTTGAGGTTTCTTGGGGACAATTCTTGAGGAATTTTCCTCTTTCATTATACAGTCCTTTTGCACTGGAGGGGCAGACACTCCCAGGTTCCCAGCTGGCAGATGTTCGCTGCCAGTTAATTTGAGCTGCTTAGGCAGGCTCCAAGACAGAGCATTGGATCTTACAAAATGAGTCCCTTTGTCTGCACCAAATGATGTACTAGAACCATCGACATCTGTCCTCCTGTCAGAACTCAAATTAGAGTCTGCGTCTAAAGAAGCTGCTGTGTTCTCAAGGGAAGATGTCTCGTGACACAAGTCTGGTCTGTCCCTGTCAGAGCTACTATCCACTTCACTTTTATTTCCCAGCTTCACCTTGCTCACTGGATCTTGGTGACACAAAGCATTCTCCCGAAGAACACTGACTTCACTGTTTTTCAAACCATCTTCACCAAGACAAGAGCTATTATTTAAATTCTGTGGTTCCTCAGCACCTCCACTAGGATTATCTACATGTTTTTGGCGTAACAGTCGTGTCTTTCTGGGCTTCGGAGTAGGAAACGTGGGGGTACGTGGTACCGAGTCAGTTTTTGAGGGGCTATGATCTTTGACTTCTGTGTTCTTACTGACTTCATCTGAAGATACAAACGTATTCTTTTTACCATTTCCCAGAGCTCCTGGTTTGGATAAATGAAAGGAACTATCGCTTTTTTTGCTTCCCTCCTCACAAGTTTCAAGATTTTCAAATTCACCCCTAGGAAGCTGCAAGTGGCAGTGCTGAGCAACAGGCACCTTTTTGAAGCTGGATAGGGAAGGTGACGAGTCTGGAAGACGAATTCTGAAACTCATGTTGGCACTGCGGGCACCATTCATTTCTGGGTTGTCAGTGGACGTCTGCTTCTGTGGGGAACTAAAAGCCGACTTTTGCTGTTTCAAAGCATCTTTGAGCTTCTCTTCTAGGATGCTTGCCTTTAACACCACCCCACTTTGCAACCTAAAATTTTCACCAGAATTCCATTTCATCTGATTTTTTTTCGTCAAAAAAGACTCATCCCTTTTACTGTTTTTTAAACTTTCTTTCATGTCCAAGGGCTCTAAAACAAGCTGCTTCACACACATACTCTTTTTATTCCTAAGCTTACGGATGCATTCAGAACCACAGGGACACTCGGGTAAAATATAATCGCTGCTCTGATCTCCTACATTTTTGCAATTAAAGCTGTCGGTGCTTTGGGGCAATTCTGATTTATGCTCTTCCAGGTCCCTGGTGCTTTTCCTCGGCAGTGAAGGCATTGGCTCTTCCACAGGTGAGCTCTTCGGAACTTTCGGTTTGGGTGCAATTGCTGGTTTAGCTTTCCTTGTTGACTGTGGAATGCTGGCAACCACACTGTCAGGTTTTGGTGCAACAGGAGGAGGAGCTGGCTTATTATCTGCCCCTACAAACTTTGGTTTGGGGGCCACTGGTGGCTTCTTTGTATCTAAAAAAGAAAAAAAGTCATAACGAGATGATAAACCAAAGCACGAGATGATACATGACTAAATGGACATTTTAAATTCTTGATTGTTTGTTAAGATAGGGTCTCACTATGTAGTTCAGGCTGGCCATGAGCTGACAACATAGCCAAGGCTGGCCTGGAACTAGGAGTGAACCTCCTACCTCAGCCTCCCAAGTGCTGGCATTACAGGTATGCACCACCATGGCCGGCTAACATTTTTAACATAATGAATTTGACATTTTACTAGGAAAGTATACAGTATTACACTGTACAGGGTTAACATTACTGTTGAAAATTCCTTAAATTCCAGTATACATAGCTTTGAGCATACTGTACATTTCTTAGTAAATCCAAAACTGTTTCTTCCAACTCTGTGACTAAATAAAATAGCTGACTTCTGTTCATTCACTGAGTACTGAAAACTGAATTTACCAATATGACACAACTCTAAAGGTTTCTCATGTAAATAGGCAATAGTGTTCTTCATACACCACAAAATATAGTAGAGTTGCATAAATAAATACTTTTTATCAAAACCTGCCTACCTTAGGCCAGGTGCAGTAGCACAAGTGGAAGAATGAGGCAGGAGGAGATTCAAGGCCAGCCTGGACTTAGTGATCCTGTCTCAAAAAAAAAAAAAAAAAAAAAAAA